TATTTTTTTTTTTTTTTTTTTGGCTGAAGCTAATGCCAAGAGGGTTTTTAGCAATTTTTCAGGCAAAGATTTGACTCTATGGTTAAAAGTGTTTGTTGCAACTTTCAAATTGACTTAAACACAACCAAGAGAAAATCTTTACTGCCTATTAATTAAGCTTCTTTGTTTATTTATTGGACAAAAAGCAGCACGACTTTGATCAGCACAGATAGATTGGAGCAGAAATGAATAAACAAAAAAGTTTCAGTTCCTATTAAAAAACGTGTTGGGGTCACTAAGTTAATATGTTCATTTGCAGAAGTAGAACTAATTTTGCCCTTTGTGCATTTTTTGATGACCTTCACTTACTACCACATTTATTTTTAGCTCAGTATCTGTGAAACTTGAAGTGTTGTCATTGTTGTGCTTGATAAGACTGATTAGTTATTGATTTTTTTTGTTTGTTTCAGTTTGAATTCATGGAAAATCTTTCTTGAACTGCTTTTTCTCTGCATAACTGTAAAAAACGTAAGAATGTATTCCTGATCTTTTAAACTAAATTTGCTTGGTCAGCTGTCTATTGCAGGTAAGACACTGACAACTCATATCTGTTCTATACAACCTCTAATCCGTTTAGGACAGAATGGTAATATTAGAGCTTAAAAACAAACAATAATTGAGATCAAAGAAGAGGAAGCAAAACATCACATAGGACTGTGATTTTCAACAAAATTTACATTAAATGAGTGCTTTTATAGACAAAGAGCAATTCACTATACTTGCATGGACAGAAGACAATAAGAAACTCAACATTCCTTGCCTAGACATGAAGCCATGCTGGGGGGAGGGGCTAGACAAATGCCTGGTGATGGGCCATATACCTATGATGCTCTAACTGAACTGAGCTATACGGGTTCAKTTTCCTCTGGGTCCAGCACCTGCAGGAGGGGTGATGAGGTCATCTCTATCTATTGGACACTTGGGTGCAGACAGGAAGCTGTCAAGTGTTTACCACCTGGTGGTAATTTGAATCAGATGCCAGGCGAAGATGCTGGACAGACCAGTCAAGGTGGTTCAGGCATCTGGTGCCCCCAGGCGTGTTTAAAGAGGAGACCCCAGGGAAGACCCAAAACATGCTGGAGAGGCTATATCTCTCAGCTGGTGTGGGAAAACCTTAAGGTTCTCCCAGAAGAGCTGGAAAAAGTGGAAATAGATTTTTGAGCAGTCCTTCAACAAGCTGCCCCCCAATAACCTAAATCTGGGAAAAAGTGACAGATTTATGGATTTATGGCTGGGTAAACGTCACGTAAAACTAAACTCTCACCAGATGTAGTCAAATGTTTTTTTAAGTTAAATATTCTCCAAACTGACACCACAATATGGTTATGGATGTTTTGTTTAGGTAAGGGGAAAAAAGCACCATTATTAAATCCATTGTCCATAGGTATTATCTTAATCAGGCAAACAGAGTGAAATAATATGCTTGTTTTGTGCATGAGGATGCTCATTCAGTCTAAAACTAAAGATTTACTTAACCAATTTATGTAATGCAATTTACTCGTTTCCTTAGTAAATTGCTTCACATTCAGTGAACTCTGTTTAGTTGACATAACTTGGTTAAGTAAATTCAACACTTCATTTCTTAGAGTGTACATGAGGACCACATTGTTCCATTTGGCTTCTGCTTTCTCCTTGTTAAGCTGACATGAAGCCCATGGAGAAATACCATAACAAACCACAACAGAAAGGAGAAAAAGCCAGTATTTCATCAGGGCTTAAACTTTACCCAAAATTGATCGGGATAATTAAATATGTTCAAGCACAAATTCCTGCTTATTTACTTTGTTGCATGAACATCAGATTTCAGCGCTTCACCTCTCAATCATTAGAAAGGAGGTGAAATTACTGATGCTGTGGTCTATTTTGAGTCCTGTGAGCAGTTTTTTTTTTTATTTTTGCACCGTTCTACAAACAGAAATACAGTGGTTTGCAAAAGTATTCATACCCCTTGAACTTTTCCATATTTTGTCACATTACAACCACAAACATAAATATATTTCACTGGAATTT